TAACCATAACCCTACCTAACCGGTATGCTGGGGAGGCCCATATTGAGGAACATCACGTTCTTTTTCACAAAAAAATTTGACACCGATGTTTCGAGGCGTTTGTTTTAATTTGTTTACCACAAATAAGAAGTGTTTACGAGCTGGATGCTGAACAAACAAATTGCTAGATTTGCAGGAGATTTCAGCGTGATGTTTTGAGCTACAGTATCACAGGAATTGAAATATTTAAAACAGATCACTCACAATAGGCTCAATTTCGTTTATTCGCATCTCTTCTATTAAATTACGGTAATAATTTACTCCTTGCTCATTTATATTGTCAACTGTTCCATAAGGAAGTAATCTTGTCCAACAAATTGAGAAACGATAATGCGTGACCTGCAAATAAAGTCTTTCTTCAAACAGTTTCAATTTGAAAAATAAACTTTGCGTGAAAATTTCTGGCTGATCCCGTTATCTCGCAATTTCATAGCCCAGAGGGTTCAAGGTAAATTTTTTGTGTAAGTAGTGCCCGTAATATTTTGGTGGTGCTTGATCAATCCACTAATTTAATTGAAAGTGCCAAGCAAATGAGAATGAGAAAATCTGGAAACAAACAAACCTTACATGCAAATCCTTCAGCAATTTTATATCTTCTTTGTAATGATAATAAGCATCACAACTCTGAGAAGGAGACGAGTTATCAGCGATTCTTCCTGGTTGTTTTCGTATGACATCCCAAGTGGAAACGCCGCGTCCTAAAAACCAATTTTACAATGAGTGAAATGTGCGCAACACATATTCTTTGATCTATTATTGAGAAATTGATTTTTTTGTGAAATTGTTTCTCCTTTCGCTTTTTTCAGCCCAGTATTTTCAGCTCAGCTCAGTTCGCAGAATCTCAAGGCAAATATTTTGGCTCAAAGGGATCATTCTGACTTGATGCAGATTTCTCATTTATGCAAATGACGATTAAAATTAGCCTTAATTACTAAGCGGAATAATATTGCCAGCAACGAATAATGTACTCGCAACCAAAATTCTTACCGTCTTTATCATTCGCTCCTTCTACTTGATATGCAGCTGTGGCAGTGGCCCA